CCATTATTATTAAAAGGTAGTAAAAAACTTATTTAGGGATTAATGAAATAATTTTTAAAAAATGATGAAAATTTAGGTTCTGTAGGTATTTTGAAAGAAGAATTGAAATCGGAGGTCAAAACGCAATTTAAAAAAATTGTACTACGTCAGCTGTTCAGTCTGTAGTCCCCGACCAACCAGGACGCGCCGCGTGGCAGAGACAGTGACGCAAGAGGCCACACGGAAGGAAGCCACGTGGGCGATCCGCGTGCGCGCGATCGAACGGCTGAGATCCGTTTCTGCGCTCACTGATAGCCCAGATCAAAAACACGCACGGGCGGCCCAGATTGCATCGCGCACGGACAACCCAGATTGAATTGCGCATGGATGGCCCAGATTGAATCTCGATGAACGACCTAGATTCATTTCCTATTTAATCGCGATCGAACGGTCTAGATTAAATGCGATGGACGGCTCAGATTAAAAGTGGATGGTTATAAATAATCTCATCCGCACCCAAATCCAAACCCTAGCCGCCAGAGCCCATCGCCGGAGAAGACAACCCAGCCGCCGGGGAGTTCCCGCCGCCGCACCGAAGTAATTTTCGGCTGCCAAATGAGGTAAAAATTCTACCATTTGCTCAGAATTAAATTTTAAACCCACCTATGGCAAAATCGGAGCGAAAACACCAGCTAATTGGCCAGAAAATGCTGCCGAAGCCCAGGGGCGCCGTCGCGGGGTGTCTTGATTTTTGCCTCCAACGAGGCCCTTTCCGATTCCTGTTCGACGTGATTTTTCCACCTTTGTGATCACCGTTCCCTCCTCTACAGGTTGACTGGAGCAAAAAATCAAACCGTGACGTGAGCCGAAGGAGCCGCCGCATCGGAGAGCCTCACCGTCGATAAGTTTCGATTTTTTGTGTTTTTAGGCCCACCGAGGGCCCTAAATATGTTTTCTCACAGGAACCGATGCAAGTTTGACTGAATTCGGCCGAAAACAGTCAATTCGAGGCGGATCACCGCCGCACAGCGGAGCCGCCGTCGCCGGAGCACGGCGGAGCCGCCGTGCTGGAATTTCGAAATTGGCCGAATAGGCCCTGGGTCTGATTTTTAGGTTATTTGAGATATGTATAGGTACCATAAGCGCATTTCAATTCCCATAAAAAATTCAGGGAACCTAGGGACCGCCCGTAGGCGTAGTGAAAATCTAGGGTTCGGTATCAAATCAAGTAAGGACCCCTTACCCTATTTCCTATCATGGAATTGAAGTCTGAATAAATGATAATATTGTATTTTGTACAAATTAAATAGATATGCATAATTAATCACAGTTGCTAATGGAGTCCGAACCGGATATATTTCTCTGTCAATTCCTACTTGATATATTTTACAGTTTAAATGCATTATGGTATCTAGTTTATTTATTCTATGATTTTGAATGCATGAATCACTGCTTACTTCACTACTATTTGATTTTGGAAATCTAAGATATGCTTGCTTTGTTGGATACACGTTACTTGTTTATGTATTCATGTTTGAGTTAGTAACGGAGACTAAGGACAAATAGGAATGAGATGTGATTTGATAAATGGATAAGATGATAGCCTCACTAGATATCCTGAGAGATAGTGGACGGACCGGGTTCATAGAGAACCCTACCGTGAACGTTGTCTCATACCAGACTAGATGTGGAGACTTTATTGTTTTGGCACTCATACTGGACGGGGTATGGGGACGACCTGTTTCACCCTTATACCGGAGGGGTATTGAGGTCTATTATTTTGGTGCTCATACCGGACGGGGTATGGGGACGGTCCTGGAATTAAGTTTGTTAAGGGGGATGGTTCATGTGTAGCAGGGACCCATATGGATCCCAAAAGATACTAGTAAGCTGATAAAAAGGGACAAATTGTTGTTTGATGATTTGAATATAAAAGTATGATATGTGCTATGTTAAAGATTATAAATGAATTCATGATATTTATAATATTATTGTTTCCATATGTTGTTTTTATAAATCTCACTGCGGTAAGTGGACGGTAAATGCTTTGATTATTGATAAATGAATTTATTTAAATCTACTGCTCCATTGGTTATTTTAATTTTCTACCAACCTTTACTTCTGTGACAGTGAATAGTGTGATGTCCTTACTGGGATAGTGTAGCTCATTCCTTATTTAACAATAAGACGGCGAGTAAATGCTAAATGTCTTATAGTTTTCTTTATACTTCTTTTATTTCTAGTATTTCATTTAGAGGATTTATTCTTTGATATTGTTTAGTACTTTTAAGTTATTGTGTAAGGGATATTAATCTAAATCTTTTATTTCGCTTATGCACTCACATTTTTA